TATGATCAATTTCGTCAACAATGGTTTAAATTTATTGAACAACGACATGAACTATCACAACAACTTCAAAAATTAGATGATACGAATTGTTTATTTCAATTTCATTATATATATGATTTTGGTCCCAAATGTCGTTTTAATCGTGATTTTCGTCAACTCTGGCATCAATATTTTCAACAACATCCAACTTTATCAGAAGAAAAGTGCAAAATTATTCTTAATGCTAAAAATTTTCATTCCTTAAATACTTTATTAGGAATGGATAAACCGGCATTGACTCTTGGACAATAAAGACTTTTTTTCTCATATGTATGAGACAATATTACCTCGTCGTTATAACGCGATTTTTCTTTTGTTTTGTTTTTTTTTGTATTTGAATTCATCCATTATAAATATAGACATTATATAGATGTCATGTTTTTCTTGTCATTCTTTTTTTCCTATATATTTGAAAAAAAAAACATCTCATTATGTTTCTTTTGTTGTAGATTTAGTTTAATTCAAAGATATTATCATTCGAGGATATGAGCTTTGAATATCCATTTTGGTTTGATTCTGTTGAATGAAGCATTTCGCTACTCAAAGAAGTGTAATGCAATCATGGACACCATTTTTTTGCTTCAAATATCAAACTATACAATAAATTAAATAAACAATTGTTTAATGGCATTACTATACAAAGAGTCTTTATGCTTTGAGATTTTCTCTATGACTAACTTTACTTTGTGGATTTATAACCTTGTTTCATTATTTTTGTATTAATAAATAATTATATTATTTATCGCCTAATTCGAAACAAATATGCTACCTTCATTGCTTTTTTCTAGACATATATTCTTTCCACATTTACTCTAAATTCAAACCATGTCTAGTCGTTCACAAGATAAACATCCAGAACAACAACGTTCCCAAGGTATTGAAGATTTATATCGATACATACGGAATTCATTGTTGATTTATGATCTTGTTTAGAAATTAAGTTTCAAACTTATAACAACAATATTCAACAACAACAACTATTAACACAAGTCTCCAATAGATTTATTTTTTATTTAACATATGTGACTTTTTTTCATTTGTTTTTTGGATAATAGAGATCTGTGCAATCAACTCAAACAAGTAGTTCATCATCTTTGAATAATGAAACGAATGAACGATATTTAAGTCAACAAATTCGTACAACACAAGTGACTGTCAATTTGATTGATTGTATGGAATGTTACGTACGAACTCCACGTTGTACGGTAATGATTTTTACCAGTAAAATATAACAATAAGAAACAATCTATTTTCGTTTTGAAAAATTTAACTTTTAGTTTGAACAACAAGCAGCCGATTATAATGGAAGCCCGAACAAAGATATGGTTCAACAAGTACAAGAATTTCGTCAAGAACAAGAACAAGCTTCACCAATTCAAAAAAATGACGGAAGAAATGAAACTGTTGAAAAAAAAGAAGATGGAAGAAATGATAATTTAATTCATTATTTCAATGATGAGGATGCAATGATGAGTCTTCTCATTGTTGATTTACCATGGTCACAAACTTCACAATACAATTCCGCAAATGATGAGCACCCCGGTAACATCTAGGTCTGCATTCCTGTGTTAAATGACCTGTTTCATAAACTGATCCTATTTACAATTGTGTCGATCTTCACACAAAAAATGGACACGTTTTCCTTATTTTTTTTGTATTATTTGATTTTTTTTTGGTTTTGTTTTTTTTTTCGTACAAATATATATATGAATAAAATGGATATTAAAAAAACAATATTTTGTACATTGATAACAATTTTACAATTTAAATATATAGTAGACGGAAAACTATTAGAAACGGAAAGAAAAAAAAAAACAGATAGATTCACCCTGAACTATTAATCATAGGTTATTTGTCGGTCACAATGTCTGGGAGAAAAGGAAAAACGTTAACCTCGATGTATTTAAACTTTACTATAAAGAATACCAGACAGACAAAAACAAACGTATAAAACACGTGGAAAAGTTTGAAATTGTTTCTAACGTGTTGTTTAAATAACTCCGTGCAAAATAATATTGATTGTTTAGTTTATATTTGATTAAAAAAAACTCGTGTGTACCATACAATGGAATACAATATGAATTTCAGAGAAATTTTGAAAGAACAGTTTTTTCAAAAAGATTCAATTGAAGAAGTTTTTATGTTGCTTCTGCAGAATCAAGACACTTCTGAAGATGAATTTATTCAGTTTTTGAAAGATCATATTGATTATTTAAATATTGAAGAAAATTTTTCTGAACTTCTACATAGTATTTTTCGTAATATAAGTGTAAACGATTCACTGTTTGGTGTTAGTAATCAAATGGAAGATCATCATGCAATGATTGATGATAACGATGAAGATTTATATGTAGATTATTTGGTTGACGATTATAATGTCGGCGAAAATGATATGGATGCAAATGATGAATATCAAGTATAGGAACATTTTGCTTTTTTCAGTATCTTTTTTTTTTGTTACAAACTATTTTTTTTTTTGAATAAAATTAAATTGAAACTATAATGCTTTCCCATTTTTATAAACAAAAGAATATATCTAATGATTCACTTTTCTCGCAGCATTTTTTTCTTAATTTATATAACGATCATTCTTTGAATTTTCATCACAGACATTAGTGATAGACAATCTAACTGGAATGTTATAAACTATTGGCTGATGCCAGTTCGAGAGTAAAGAAAATCGAAAAAATATATCTCAATGGATTTTTGATATTAGCTATTGAGTATATTACAAATTTGTTTGGTAGTCTCGTTTTTTAACCGAAAAAATTATTAAATTAATATGTGATATTTTTTCGAAAGAAAATAGCGAAGACATTTATCATTTCGATGAAAAAAAAAAGAATTTGTACATCTTTTTTTAAATGTTTTTAAAGACTTGATAAAAAATAGAGAAATATTTGAAATTTATTTCGATATATTTTCAAAACATTTAAACGTTCAAATTTGAAAAAAAACCGTTAAAATCTAGGGAATCAACTATTCGAAAAGGGATTAGTTAATGTCTAGACAGTGACCGTTCCTCTTTTCTGTTATGACTTGTAACCTCGTCCAGGGTATAACGTTTGTTTCCATGTGGTGTGTCCTTCTAGACTAGTCTAGAACATTCCTTTATTTAAATACAACACTTCTCTTTTTTTTTTTCCACTACATTCATTTCGTAAATTATTATACTCGAGTAAACATCATCGTCTATATAAGGTTTGTGACCAGTATAGTTTGAATTTATTTACCTAGCTATAATTTTCATTAATTAATTATATTCATATATCCATCTGTATCTATTTAATTGCGATAGAATAATCTCACTACCAGACAGTCTCAGTCCTAAAAAAATTTCGTTCACAAAAAAAACAAATTCACTTTAATGTTCTACAAAACTGAATAAATCATTGACAGTTTATTAGAATAAATATATGAATCCTTTTTTTTTATAACTTGTAATGAATTTCTATATTATATCAGATAACATTTAAGTGGTAAAATGCCAACAAATTTAATTAAAATTGTCTGCAAACGTGCTGCATTAATGCGTGCTCCCTATGCCCAATCGTCATGGACGATCAACACCAGTACAATTAAAAAAAAATCATCATCACGAAATAAAACGGCAATTAGTATTCCAAAAAAAACGATTCCATCAAATGATAATAATATAAAATTAGTAAATAAAAAAGTATGTCTCTCGCAAATATATATGTTTTTCATATGAAACATTTTTTTTAATCAAATTTTTGTATCTCTTGATAAAAATTAGAAGCATATCGATCACAAAGATCCAAAACATGATGTACATGAACAAGAAAATGAAAAGAATAATTCAAAATAAAAAAACTATATCTATTTTCAGTAAATATGGACTATTTTGGAAACATTTGAAATATGTATATACATATAAAAGTATTGTTGTTGTTTTTCTTTTTTTTTTGTTAAATAAACATCTAGTGCCATATGCAGTATATGTTTCCATTCTAAAGTGAAACTTATGTTCACTAAAAATATTAATAATATTAATCAAGTACGATAAGTTGAGAATAACAATATTCTATTCAATTGTTTCGCACTGTCATTATATTGGTGACACTCCTTCAATTTACTTTTGCAGATTTCTAATGCTTCAAATATTATTATTTAAATTTACGATACATAGATATTGTGATTACACTGAATTTTTTAAGCACTTCAAAACTAGAGTTGATTCAAATAAAGTTTAACATTTTAACATCTAATTCTGAAGTTGACATTAATATTTTAAGAAAAAACATCTCCTTCAACAAAAGCCATACACATTTAAATGTATATTTTTATTTTAGATATATATTTGAACTTAAAAAAATATTATTAGTTATAGTGTAAAATAACTATTATGTCGTCTACATCAATACATCAACAACAAGTGAGAAAAAAAAAACAACAAATATTAAAAAAAAAGCATTAATTCAAATTATTTTTCTTCTAGAATATTAGTAATGATATTTATATGCAATTAATTCAACTACTTGATATCAATGAAAATGGAAGAGTAAGATAGAACATTCCTTTATTTTTCACAATTCACTATAATTTATATAATTTAGCTTGTTTTGCCGTTTTCTCGTCGTTTGATTCTTATTGATCGTCCACGTGAAAATTTATATCAAAAGTAAATTGTTTTAAGAACAAAAATTCTTTACATAATATTTATATTATAATTCTTTTTTCTTTCTCAGTGCTGGTCACATACATAACAACATTTCTTCACAATGTCAAAGTCCACAATATGAACGTTCAACATCAACTTCAGAATCTTATTTAACCAGTGTTGATGAAAACAATAGTGAACATGACTCATCATTTCCATCAATATCATTACCACCGTCACCATTTCTATGTGATCCTTATGAATCATACGATTGGGAATGTTAAAAGACTACTAAAATCATTCGTTAATTTTCATTACTGTTTTTTTTTTGTATCTGTTATATGTTTTTTTGAATTAAAATAAAGTGTTAAATCATTTTTTTGAAATAAAATATCAGAAAATGATTTATGAAAGTTGCTACTTCATAACACATATATTTTAATTTTCATTCATTCAATAGAAATATGCATGAGGTTTCTTTATTGTAAGACCCAATGATATCATGGAGCTACACGATGAATTATAACTAAAAAAAAATAATTTTTAGCTACGGACAACATTGCATAAAATAATAGAATTTTATTGTAAAATAACTTTATAATAACACAAAAGGTTGAAATTAGAAGTTCCAATATAAAATACAAAAAAGATTTACATAAACTATAAGAATACTAAACGCAATAAAAAAACAGAATTTTCAAGCGAAATTAAATAAAAAAAAACATTACAAACGAATTCTTTAACGCTGAAATGCTATTAAATATATTAGTGGATATAAAAAGAATAGTTTTCTCGAAATGTTTCGGCATAATTCCCAAAGAAATAGCTATGTTTTAAATGATAAAATATACACCTTTTACAATTTCCTTCTTTTAAATATTCACTTCATAACTTCATACGATTTCACATAAATTAATGAACAATTTACAAAAAAAAAATGTAGTACATGGTGTTTAGACTGTGATATATTGTATATTGATTTCGTCATTTCGAATTTTACAATGCTTTAAAAAATATTAGAAGTGGAAACTTACCGGGCAAACTAAAGATAAAAAAAAGAATTAAAATTACAGAATTTAAAATTATAGAAATATTTAAATATTAGATAAAATGTATCAGGTTTTTTTTGTAATACATTTAAAAGAAAATGTATAGAATTCTTATAAAAATTATACACAAAATATTACAAAAAAAAGGAAAAAAAAATATTATCAGAAAAAATATTGAATTTGATATCCATTTCCAAAGTACACTGTGGTCTGTCCTTCTGTGTTGTGTTATCACTTAGTATGTCTTCGTCTATCGTTGTTCGCCGTGGTATGTCCTTCTCTTCTATATTATAGTGTGACCGGTTCAACCTTATCGTATTGTATAATGTATTATGCCGTGATGTGTCTTTCTCTCTATTGCTCTTTCCCTATATGCCTGTCGTCTCTAGTGGGACAGATCACTCGATATCGGCTTGCCTATAAATAGTCCGAAATTTCTCATAATGAATTCATTCGAAAATAAACACAACAGCGATAACATCAATTCAACTTCTGCAATAACAACAGCTCTTACTTCCAATTATTTCATTAAGGTTAGTTATTGTTTCCTTTTATGGATTTCACCTTTTTAAATTTCGTATGTATATATATACATGTATGCATACATTGTTTCCTTATATTATGATACAATGTTGTATGAATATATATACATTAGAAATTTAAATATAGTTATACTCATTATATGTGTGCTATTTTTTACAGCAGAGTTTTGTTCATTTTTTTTGTACATATTTTTGTCATCCCATTTTTTTCTAGATTTACTTTGAAAAAATTATGGATATTGATAAAGAAAAAAATGCAATCAACAATTCAACATCAACTGTAAATAAAGAAGTAAGATAATAGAAACATTTTCTTTTTGTAGAAAAAAAAAAGTATTTCTTTTTTTAGATGCAGCAACGACAACAAGAATATGCAATGCTTGCAAGTGACCATCAGCAACGTGTTTCAGCAATAATGGAATATCAATATGGGCCACATTCTCATTATTTTAGACTTGAACAATTGCATCAACCACTACAAGGAAAACAGTTATTTGGAGAACTAGAAGAAGAATTATGGAATGAATTAGAAAATCTCAAGCAAAATGAAGAACAACAAAAACAAAAGAAAAAAGAATGGGAAGAACTTTGTTTACAATCATTTGAATCGTATGATGAATTCAATGAAGATGATATGGAACATCGAAGACAAAACACACCTGTGGAAAATATGGAAGATGAAGAACAATGTAATGTGGAGCCATCTACCATTCAACCAGTGGAAAAAATAAAAGAAGATGGCACTGTTGAATCACCTGGTTTGGTTAAAGCATTTCAACGTTTCGGTGTATATGATGGTCGCAATTATTCTGCTCAATGAACGCTAAGTAAAACAATGACTTTTTGTTAAAATTGAATAGTATAAAAAAAACTTATGTTATGTCCATTGTAATAGTTTTTTTTTATGTATATGTTTCTAGTTATACTTTGGATTACTGAAGTTATTTTTTTTTGTAGTTTTTTTGTTTCATGATCATTTCTTTAATGAACTCATTTTTTTTTCTCATTCTAGATAAAAATATTTAAAATGAATGGGAAATCAACTACGAATTTAGACACGTTGGAAACTCCTCGTCAAGATGCACAAGGTCGATGGCACGAATTATTATCACCAACACAAGTGCTAACAGGACAACAACAACAACAATCACGTATGGGTGAACAACTTACAAAAAAGAAAAAAAAATGTCGTGGTAATAGAAAAGCACAACGTCAACGTCGACGACTTCGTCGAAAAGGTTTATATTCAGAAACAGTAACTAGAAATGGTGATCACGAACTTAATGTTCAACATTTGGAACAACACGATCAAATATTTGAAGAAGATACATCAGACAAAATACAAGTGAATGTAACATCCGATCAAGTAATTTTTTAGTTTTAATCTTTTTTTTTCTAAATGTTTATCTGCTGATTTAGGTTTCTGCATCGACACAAAGTAAAATTCATCAAAATGATAGTAAAATGAAAAAATCAAACAAACGCAAAAAAAGAGATATATCATCACAACCACCATCGAATACAATTCATGAATCTTTAAGTCAATTAACAATTTCTCCACCATCAGCAAAAAAGCAAAAAATGATAAATAATGAAGTTCAACAAATTACTACAAATGGAAACTCAGAAAAAACACGTTCAAAATGTAAAAAACAAAATAATCATAATTATAATGACTCTTCTTATATACCTGATTATTTACAAGTGTCAAATCGTATATTTAAAAAAATGTTAATTAGTTCATTAGACGATGCTAAAAATATTGTTAGAAGATTAAACTCAAAAGAAAAAATAAATTATATTCGTCAATATACTTGCTTAATACATCGTCTTTTTTATGGACAATTACAAGAAAGTCAATGGAAATATTATTATGATATTGGTATACAACAAAATATTTGGTCAGGACGTGTATCAAAAAAATGGGCGGCGATGAACAGTATGAATTATACTTATGGCCGATCGAAAACATTAATTTTACAACGTCTCAAAACTATCCAACGACAACTTCAACAAGCATCACAAGCATTACAAAACTTTGGTAATCAACCATTACCTCAATGTATATCAGAATTGAATCCTCCATTGGATTTTACAAAACTGAACGCAATTGTTACTGCTGTTGTACGTAAAGGGCAACATAAATTAAAACAACAATTTGAACATAATAAAAAAATGTTAATGTTAGACTCAACAGATCACCGATTAGTACAAAATGTTTACGATTTAAAACCAAGTCAACAACAACTTCGTTCAATTCGTAATATATGGAAAGCAATTTATAATAAAAAACAAATGGAAGAACAAATTGAAATATTAAAACATCGTATCCATTCCAATTGTTTACCACCAGCATTTAATCTTCTTGATTATTCACTAGATAGAATTGATAAAATACTTAGTCGATCCAAACAAGATTATATGCACAATAATGATAACAAACAACAAACAATATTAAATGCCCGTCGTTTAAAAAAAGTTGGTCGATTTAAATATGATATGCTTGAATTAATTATAGCCGCTGGTGAAGAAAAAGTACGATATTATGATAAAATACTGAAAAAAGAAAAAAAGAAATTAATAATGATTACAGATAAATTAAAGAAACAGGATTCCAATTCTGATGCATTCAAACAAATAATGGTAGCTATAGAAGGACGTCAACGACATATGATTGAACGTGCTGATTATATTACACAACAAAAATTAAAATCTTTTTTCGACGAAGCTCCGGCGTCACAAGACAATCCAATCAACCAAGATGGCGTCGGAGCAAATCAAAATTAAATCTTCGAAATCAGGCAAATATGTTTCTCTCTTTATATTTTGTAAATACTGTTATACCATTATCAACTACAGAATTGCTCATAATTAATAAAGGTTTAAAATTTATACCACCTTGCCAAAGTCGATTCTTTTCCAGGGAACCTATGAAAACAATTATTGATCAAGAATACAACCGGTTATATGATGAAAATTGTAAGAATCTTAGTGATTATACATTTTCAACAAAGGATACACGTGCTATTGAATATTTCACTGAAATAAAAAATTTACTTGAACAATTATATACGAAACCATTGCCAACAAAACTTAAACGTCATGCAGAACATATCTACAAGATGATAAAGTCAATGCAGCGAAAATTACAAAAAGCTAATATTGCCGTTGGTCAAACTGATAAAAGTAAATTATTTTTTTTTATTGATGCACAAGAATATGAAGAAAAAGTTAAGAATTACATGAATAAAACGAATGCATATCAAGAAATCACGAGTGGTATTTGCCCACTAGCTGATAATTTACATTTGGTAATATTATTACTTGATCATTTACTTGAACGGAAGGATATTACCAATGAACAATATAAAAAAATGTATCCTAACTTAAAAAAATTAGAATTGGCTCACATTTATTTCAATCTTAAAGTTCATAAGGTCAAACAATTGCTTTCATTAGTCATAATTTAATTTTTTTTTGTAGCCTGATATATCAGTTCGGCCTATTGTTGCTTCCATCAATGCACCAGCAAGACAAATATCAAGCTTTTTAGATCAACTGCTTACTCCAATTTATAATTATGTGACAAAAGATATAACATTTATTAACAGTATCGATTTGATTCGAAAATTAAAAGAATATGAACAAAAAGGTTATCTCACTTCAACAACGTTACTTGTTATATTTGATGTGACCGATTTATATACAATGATACCACGAGATGGTGCTATTGCTGCTTTAAGACGATTTTGTCAAAAATATTCAGCAAATGGAAAAATAGGAAATCTCAAAGTGGAAACAATTATTAAATTAGCATGTGTTGTTTTAGATACCAATACATTTGCATATAAAGATAAGTATTATCGACAAATTAAAGGTGGTGCTATGGGTTCACCATTTACTATGGCTTTAGCCAATATTTATATGTTAGAATGGGAACAAAAATTACTACAACATCAAAATAGACATCATGAAATCTATGGCCGGTAAGTTTCAACTAATTATTTCTAGACTCTTTTATATTGATACTGTATTAATATTTTGTAGATATATTGATGATGTATTTATGACTACGAATTTAACAAAAGAAGAAATTTTAGAACAACTTAATGAAACAATAAAAACAGATCCAAACATTAAAATTACTATCACAATAAATCAAGCATTAGAATATCTTGATGCCACTGTTGAAAATAATAATGGACAGTTAAAAACAACTATTTATCATAAAACAGCTTGGGAACCTCATATTCTACCTTATGAATCTGATCATCCACGACATATGCATGCTAATATAATTTATACAATGTTAGTTCGAGCTGCACGTATCTGTTCAACTGTAGAACATTTTGATATGGAACGATTAAGTGCAGAAATGATACTATTAGTTAATGGTTATCCACCAAAATTTATACAACAACATATGAAAAATTTTTTTATTCAACATAATGCCATGAATGTATGGTCTGAACTCGATAAAGAAGCATATGAACAACTACATAATACATTACTTTACAAACCAACAAGAAGAGAACTAAAATCCAATATCCAAACAAGTGGTACCTTAAATCCAGACAGGAATAATTATGAACATAAAGATCAAATTTATCTACATTATACATTTGAAAATGGACCACTATTAGATTTTAAAAAAGAATATCGTCAAATATGGGAAAAATACTATGTTTATCCCGGATCACGTTTGAAAAATACACGACTCATTCTTGGTACAATATTAAATCGAACATTACAAAGTCTTTTGATTCATAAAAAGCCTAAACGAAATATGTTGAAGCAAATGCAAGCAACTACATAGGCAGATCGTGGAACAATAAACAAAAGATTTATTCATTGACGATTGTTTTTTTATTGAACAGATCACTTATAAGTATTCCTTTCTTGTGAAAACTGTAGTTCCACTGTTATATTGTAAACATAGGATTCTTTTGTCTTAATATTCGATCCAGCTATTTGAGAAGCATTGTTTTTCTACATGCTTATTATTCCGTTCCTTAGGTCGAATAGACACAACATGAGAATTTCTTTAACTGCTTATAATTAACACCATCATATGTAACAATTAATAAATGAACATCAACATTCTTCCAATTCATATTTCTTTGTATTTCTAGATTATTTTCTTCCTTCCACCAGGTTCACCATCAACATTGAAAAAATTCAATGTATTATATACTCTAGATATATACTTAACCATAACCCTTAGATAACTGCCAACTACCAAGACGCAACATTTCAACTGCATCAACTTCAACCGAAAAACAGATACATCCACACTCAAAACACTGGCAACACAATGGCTCATAAACCATCCGAAAACAACACATCAAAAAACAACAAAGTAAGCACAAATCATGACAAACGAAAAATACTAAATCATTCGAAAAAACTGTGTGTAATAACATTAAATAAAAAGAACTACATGTTCCCAACTTTTTAACTACGTGATCATTAATACGATTAAATTTTACCGCCTACCAAACGTGTCTTGCTAGCTTTTGATTTGATTTTACTATTCAAAAAATCAT